GAGAGGTGGCCGCGCTTCCCACCTCCGCCTGAGCCGCCCGGCGGTAAAAGGCGAACGCAAGGGCCCCCGTGTTGCCCTGACCTGACAGGTTTTCAGCGCCGATTAAAGACCCCCCCCTGAGTCGGAGACTCCATCTCCAAACTCCCCATTCCACCCTCCCCACCCCCCAACCGCGTCAGTAAGAGCGACTCAAACAACTTAACACGTTAGACCACCGGGCAGAAATTACACCCTTTCTCCCTCCCGCCCCCCGAAGCGTCGTACCGAGCCTCTGATCCTGCATGAAAACACAAGGGTTACTGATCACACAGTTTAAGGTAGATTTCATATTTATTTAAATATTTATCAAGTACTCAAAAATGTATTACACTTGAGCATACAAAATGAATCCAGTTTCTAATCAGGATGATTGAAATCCTTGTATTAGATTTTTAACATTTAGTTTTTTGTGTGTGTTCACTGTACTGTCGAAATGGTTTGTCTCTATAGCTGAGCTTGCTCAGGGTGGGCTGAGATGGTGAGGAGGGAGGAAAAAGAAGGTTATGTTAAGAAAACATTAGGGTTTGGAGTAACTGTCATGCAAACCAACTTGTCTTTGTCAGACTAAAAATCTCTGTATAATATTCCAGTCTTAAAGGGTTTTTTAAAGTGAGCCTTTGTCTTGTGCTGGTTGGGAGCACCAGAATTGGAGTTAAAAAAAACCCTTTCCTATGTTTATCTTCTTCTTCTTTCTACTTTTCCCTAAGAAATCGCCCACATTTCTAGCTTTCACCACCCTCTCCCCTGTAAATTAAAAAAGGAAGAAAAGAGGGAGTGAAGTGAAGGAAGTCGACAGACAGTAAGGAACACTATTCGTGCAATTTCATAGCAATATCCCCAAAACCTATTTCTCCTGCAGCATTTTTAAATCGTTTTGACAGCAGACACTGATAAATAATGGTCATACTTGACTTGTTAAGCAAAAAGCGTCCCTTTTATCTGGAGCTTATACTTAAAGTACAGGTCACTTCAACAATCTCAACAACGAGGCTTTGGTATACAGCACTTTCTTTTTATTTTTATTTTTTTTTTAATAATAGAACTCAGCAAAAAGACTGAGTTCCTAGTTCTTTAGATGTCTTAACGTTATGTCAAGTCATGCCTAGAGTAATATTACTTTTAAGGGTAAGGGATGGGGGCAGGGAACAAGAAAATTTCTAACGTTATCGATTGAAAGCTAAGGCATCCAACTAGCCCTGATAAAGTTGTTGAAACGGAAATTTACAAGCTGGTCGTTAATACTTGCAATAAAATATCACACTTCTTTTATTCACTAACGACCTGCTTTGCATGCAATATTTTATTTCAGGTATTTTAGCTGCTAACTTGTAAATATTTAAAAGAGGGAACTTTGTTCATTATTTAATATTAATATTATTATTATTATTATCCTTTTCTCTATTCCAAACGCTTATTTAGTGAGATAGTCCTGAAGATATAATAATTCTACATATGGCGCTTTAATTTCACATAATATTTAAGAAAAAAAAAAGACAATAACCACATAGAATTAGACATATAATTCAAAGACCACGGTACAATCTTTTCTTTTTTTTTCTTTTTTTTTCTTTTTTTCTTTTACTTCAGCAAACAAAAAAATAGTCAAATGACATGAAAAGTGGCAAGTCTTCCGATAATAAATAATAAATTACTTTATAACTTTGTAATGTAAGAGCAAACAAAAATGATTTTTTTTCTTTTTCCTTTTACTTTTTTTTTTACTTTTTTAATCTAGAGAAAGAGAAAGAGAAAGAGAAAGAGAAAGAGAAAGAGAAAGAGAAAGAGAAAGAGAAAGAGAAAGAGAAAGAGAGAAGAACAGTCGTTTTAACCAATAACTATACACATCTTTGGGGGAGGGGAAGGTTCTTGGACGGACACATTTCAAACACAATCCCGAGACGCTTTGTGGCAAAATAGAGGTATACCTTGTTGCAATGCTTTTATAAATCGGTTTTTAAAGAGGAATTCAAAAACCTATTTTTAATCGCTTCAGACTTGATAGAAGGTGGATCTCAACCAAAGAAAATCAAAACCCCGCTACAGTACATGCTAGAAGAGACCCAGGAAACAACCCCTTGTTAAGAGTCAACTAAAAACAACATTGCAAACCAATGCAGCTCCACCTTCCTGCAATGAATCTTTCATCAATGCAGGGATAAATAGTCTCTTTCCTGATGACGGAAAACCTACTGGAGCTCCTTTTGGCAAGGCAATCACCAATATAGAAACAGCACCATTCAGATTGGGAGGGACTAGATAGAACGTCCCTCTACCTTGGTTTCTCCCCAAGATGTGCAGTCAAATGAAATTTTTTTTCCACTTTTTTTTTTTTTTTGAGATCCACGAGTACAAATCCTTTACGTTTTGAAAACGTCTTTTTGCTCCTTCTCTGATCATTGAATAGCGTAGGGTTTGTTTGTTGTGGTTTTTTTAGTATTTATTCGAGTAAGATCCCATGATTGTCTTCACAGTGTTGCTACCATATTACCTTGTCTTTTCAAACATGACTCCGTTCATTTCATGGAGCGGTTCCTTGCTAGGTTCATTACAGGGTTGTTAAACACTTTATCCCCCTAAATTTCGGAGTCACAACGTGATCACTATCCCACTCTCTCCAACAGGGCTGAGGGTAGGGGCAGAAACAACAACAACAGAAATCTGGATGAATGTTCCTCATGCCTCAATAGGACTGGCTACCATGCTGTTGGGCGTATCTGGGAGCTGAGAGGACATTGATGCTACTTCACTTCCAGTAGAATTGGAACCGGGTCCTCCTTCTGAAAAATTAACCTGCCCAAAAAAAAAAAAAAAAAAAAAAAAAAAAAAAAAAAAAAAAAAGGGTTTTTTACTGTAACAATCAAAGAAAAGTAGCAGGCAAAGGCAAGGAAGAACACAAAAATAAATGCACAGGCATGCAGCTGAATGGCCTGATACATTTCCACGGGAGGCTGCGTCACTGTTTGTTGCTTTCTTTAGCTTCCTCATTGACTTCACAGGAATCTTCTTCAGGCCTTCGGCCAATCATCAAAAAAAAACCACAGGAGGTTAAAAAAAAAAATTTTTTTAAAAGACTAAAAAATCAAGCAACTAATCAAAAAAACTTAATAACGAGGCCTTCTTCCCTGTTTTACAAGAACGGCAATCCAAACAGGATATTCTAGTCAATTAAGAGTGCATGTGTTTTTTGACACGAAACTGCAAGGTTACTCTTTTCCCCTTTTGTGCACATACTAAAATAAACCTGGAAGGAGAATCCAGGAACAGAAGGCATTTGAAATAAGCCATCCTCTTTCGTTTGTGATTTGAAGCGAGTGCTATCGCTTTTTAACGAGAGTCAGTTTGATAAAAAAGGTCACACTTCTCCATCCTAATGTGCTCCACGGCTCCCGTTAGTTTAGGAGCAGCGTTGGGTAAAGGCGTGATTTGAAGGGTGGAGCTTTGCTAATCCAAAAGCATTTCTTTGGCACCTATTTAGCTGGCCGATCCTGCGATTAAGGCCTTTCCCAGATTAGAGACGTGCCTTGAACTGTCAAGGAACTGTTTGTTCCATCCACAGTTCTTTAACTCTTTTCAGTATCAGACATTATGTCCAATATATCTCAATATTCAACTGTCTGTCTAATGATCTGTCTACCTAGGTGCATGTGTGTACTTGGGCTATCCATCTTCCATTCTGCCTATGCCCTTTCCTTTTCTTTTCTTTCCTTTTTTACCCCATACAATATCTCAGTGCATCAAAGGTTTTTAAAATCTTCTATTGTATTAAGGCAGAATAAGTAAGGCAGCCAAAGGAGATCTTTGTGTGTGTGTGTGTGTGTGTGTGTGTGTGTGTGTGTTTGTCTGCCTGACAGCCTGATTAAAGCAGGAAAAACTGTAGTTGCTCTAGAGGTAAGATGATGCAAACAGCCCTGCTGCTGTACTGCAGCTTCCCAGGCAAGCACAGTGTGCCAGGGGAGGGAAGCACGCCACAGCCTGCCACTGGGCAAAAGAAAAGTGATCCTGCAAGAGAGCGTGCTACTAAACTGAAAAGTTCTGAAAACAATTCTAGACATGGCTACAAACCTCCATCTTCCACCACTTCATGTAAAAAAAAAAATGCCTAACAGATAAAAGAAGGGTCTATATGTTAGGTTTTCAACCTTAAGCATTATTTTGAATCTCTGAAAAACCATAAAAACATACTTTATTATTTTAAAGATCTGGTTTTAACAAATTTAGGCCAGGAAATTGAGTTAAAGCTGAACTTCTGTCTTTAATTCACCTTGTTGGGCCTAAGTATTGTAGATGATATGATCCTATATGAACTGCCAAATGACGTAGGCATAAGGAAGTGAGTTAAGAACAGAATTTATTTCAAAAGTTCTGGGTTTTTTTCTAGTTTAAGGCCATTTTTTATATCATTGGAATTTCTCACATGAATACATACTAACAATTCCCTGTCCAAAACACAACACATACTGTAAGCTATACATGTGTATGTATTTGTGTGTATATATGTCTGTACGGATAGATGAAGTTATATCTAGAGGTACATGCTCAAAACAAGGACTTAAAAAAATTAATTAAGCTATTAATGTTTAAGTGAAAAAACAAGGGCATGGGCTGACATTATAATCATATATTTAAAATCCACCCTGTTGCATAAAGGCAAAACTAGCTCGAAGGTTGAAGGCGTGAATTTTAGAAACTGCTTTCACAAATGTAAATACAATTAAATAACATGCAAAAAATGCTTTAGTTGACTGGATAGAGATGCTTTCAGTTTTCAGAAGTGTGCAAGCTGAGTTAGTCTCAGAGCTGGGTCGGGCCTTATCTAGCTGCCATGCAACTCAGCAAGAGCTCTGCTGTGCACTAAGGTAGATTTTGCACGGAGTCCTATTAAATAAGTTTACTTCACCACATTTACAGAGTGCCATCACTTCCGCCTTGCAATTTCAGAAAAACCCAGCTAGTCCGAGTTGCTCACCTCTTTGAGGGCATCCAACACCTTTAGAGAATCCCCCATTGCTCTGCCCCGGGTACAGCCTGGTCTGCCCCGGCTGGGAACCGACACTTACTAGTTGCTGAAAAGCAGGTTGGTCTATGTCACTCTGCAATGCGAAGTCACTCAGTACTTTCCAGGGCGGCTGGTAACTTTGCACTTCCACCGGGTTCGCCTGTAAACCGCCGTCGTGTCTCTCCGGACTAGCAGCCACCATTGGAGTTCCTGTCATCCCCTGGATATTCTGTAAACAGCCCAGCAAAAGATGTTAATGAGCTTTGCTAACTTTATTGTATATAAGCGCTGAGTCAATAAACTGCTTTCTATCTTATCTATACTGTCGCTCGTATTTGCTTTGTTAATCTGCTGTGAATGTCTTACTCTATTCTACTCTAGGTCAGTCTATTTCTACCCGCTGCATTTATCACGGTGGAAGTTTACTTTCTTTCCCTTTAATCCTCCTATTTCTCTCAAGGCATATCCCCTCCGTCTCAAGCTTTCTTAAACACAAGGTCTCTGTATCTTGGCTGCCGATGCACGGCTCGGCACAAGAAACGGTTAATCATGCTGCCTTTCTATGTCGCATCCAGGCTGGGTTTGTTCTGCGTGACCTTAACTGGATCGTATATCCACTGCACGGCAAACCGGGGGTACGTCAGTACTGCGCTCTTTCAAAAAAAAAAAAAAAAAAAAAGGAAAGAAAGAAAGAAAAAAAGAAAAAAGAGAAAAAAGAAAAAAAGAAAAAAAAAGATAAAAAGAAAAAAAGAAACCCCAGCCCTCCCAGTACGCCCCGTGGTACAGGCACTGTGTACAAAATAACTCCAAGCCTCGACGAATAGATTGTTCAGGCGAGTTATTACATCGTGTTTTATTGCATTCCAACAGGGTAAAATGAAACTCCTTAAATTCCACTTAACTAGGCAGCCTTATGAATTAATAGTCATTCTCAGGTCAGTCAATATACACAGGGAGAATAACAGACTCTTCTTCAAGTGGACTAACAACAGGGAAAAAAGAAAAAAATAAGTTGGCTTAAAATGGAGTCAGACGTTTGCTCTGCTGAATCCAGCACTTTCCGCTTGTTCGCATCACGCATGCATATGCATGCAGACAAAAATTCAAAAATTTCTGTGCGAGAACTATATATATTTTAAGTAACCTGTAAACACGATGGTCATTCAAAAAACTTTGCATTGCATTTGTCTTTTCTACAAGTGCACTGACGAACACACACACACACACTTTTAGTACATAAAGTGCAAAGAAAATACATAAAATTTCCCTTTTACTCATGTGTTTTACTTCTGGCTTTACTCCTGTGTAAAACCATTGAAGAGGGCGAAAGTGTCATTTTCCCCTCAAGGAGTCCTTTGCATTTGCAATATAAACATTACACAAGGCTGGGCTTATTACATCCCATAAGCTCTGCAGGTCGCAATTCACACTGCAGAGAAGTTAGTCTAATCCACTGTGTATCCTTAGCCCCACAAAAAGACGTGTTCCCAGGAGCAGCCTATATCGGCTTCTCGCTGTGGTCTGTTTTAATTGCACTGACAGCAGAAACAAACGGATAATGGCTAAAAGGTATCATTTTCTTTGTTTTAAGGGAGCTCCCACAAAATCAGAAGTGTCAAACTGACCCCAGAGCCTGGCCAGGCTGGACATAGCCCAGGCGTTTCTCCGTGGGAAGAAAGGCAGCGCACGGTCAGAGGCTGAAGCCACTTACAGTTTTGTCATTGGGTTGCTGCTGCTGAAGTTGCTTCATCATAATGCTCCTTTTTTTGTCCTTGCACCGCTTGTTTTGAAACCAAACCCGGATGACCCTCGGACTGAGGCCAGTCATTTCTACCAGTTGCTCTTTCATGAGGGCATCAGGTCTGGGGTTGGCAGCGTAGCAGGTCCTCAAGGTGTGAAGCTGTTTTTCATTAAGGACAGTCCGGACTCGGGTGGTCTTCTCGGGCTGCTTGTGGACGTGGGGTCGCAGAGCTGGCTGTCTGGCAGAGATAGGTTCTGCTGTAAGGGAAAGGGAAGGGATGAACAGGATCCCCATGAGTAGGATGCAGGGAGTCTGCAGAGGCTATGAATCTAAGCTGGTGGGACGGGGGGAGGTGGGGAGTGGGGGTGATGAACCCTCTTTCAAAGGCCATTCAAGCAGTCAGATCTATCGGAGCTCCTGCAGCCTCCTCTGCTTTATGCGCTGGTGGAGTGGCAGGGGCGACATTTCTGACTCCACAGATAATTAATTTGCAAAAACAAACCACCCCCTAAACCCCCTAATGACAGAATCTTGAGCCTGTGTGAGACTTGACAGGGGAGGGAGAACTCGCTAAGGTGTGTGTGTATGAGCTCGGAAAGGAGGGGGAGGGTTTTTTATGTTTGTTTCCTGACAAATCACCAAAATAGATTTTTGGCCCGAAAATTAATGCAAGAATACTTCTTAAATTAATCATAATTCGGGTCTGCTTCTTGTATACTGAATCTATCTCAGTTTAGCCAGAGGCCGCGATAACGTGCAGCAGCTCCTAGAAGTTTGATGCTTCCAAAGCAAAGCAAAACCACCCAGATCTGCTGCACCTTGACCATGGGGGAAAAATCCTGTGAGAGTCCGCTATCCCAGAGCTCGGAAGGCGGAGGTCTAACTTAGAAAGTGGAGCTGCTAGCTGAATTCATGTCGACTTTTGATGAACACTTAAAACTGTGAAAGTTTCCACAATTCTTTAATAGGGAAACAAGGCTAGCAACTCGTGGAAACCGCCAAGAAATGCAAACCTATGAGTAGCATCACATTAAGACCTAAAAGTATTCGTGTGATTCTGCTATTCTTCTGTGTATCGTGTAGTTGTAGCTGTCTAGATGTAATTTGACTCAGTCAAGGGAAAATTAAAAACACTTTTTTTTTTTTTCTCTAATACTCTGGTTAGCTAATATTTAGAAGTGCTCGCTTTTGTATGGTCAGGTTCTGGCTTTTTTTGTTTACAACAATAAATCAGCAAAAGCGATTAAGACAATACGAAAGCTTTAAATCTTAGTAGTATTGTATCTACCAACACAATATGCCTTTCGGAGACATGTACGCACACTACAGGGAGCATGCACAATCTCTTTAAAATTCTGCCACGATCAGAGACAGGATTTTTTTTTTTCTCTCTATATAGAGATATGTTACCTGAAAGCGTCTCAGAAACGGGAAACGAGCCCATTTAAACATAGCTATGTTTGTAAATAGCCTTTCGAGTTACAGCTACTTACACAGCAATAACACCGGCTAACCTTGCGTTGTTCAGTCTAGTTTGCCTCAGAAACGTGTCCCTTTCTAAAGGGGGAGTATCTGATGTACACGTTGAGAGCTAATACTGTAAGTAAAGTTGTAAGATGGGGCAACTCTGAAGTGTCGATGCTGAGTTTTAAGATGGAATCTCATCAAATCACATAAAAAGTTCTAAGAAGGGAGAGTTACTTTAAAAGGCAATTATTGAAGATTAGCTTGTTGACAGTTTTAAATTATAACCCACGTGCTCTCCTGTAGTTATGGAGTCTATCTCTTTTCGGTCCCCGCTTCCTACAGTGCTTAAAACAGCTTTTCCACACTCTGGGGGGGCAGAGAGCTCCGTGTTTTGCCCCAGCCCCGCTGCTCCCTGCAGCGGCTCATCGCTCTCCGACTTGGGCTCGCGGCTGCCCCGGGCTCAGGGGGGGACACAAGGCTCACATAGCCGGTGCGCGGTCGGAGCGGGAGGGGCACAGGCTGAAATGGTGTGGCCCCCGCGCAG